CCTCCGCATCCCTGATCAGGGCAACTCGCATGGGCATCGTATATGGATGGGCTGGTGGGGTTACGCGAAGCGCCTAGGCTTGTCTCCTGGGCCCTTCGATGGCCAAAGACAAACGCTCGACATTTGATTCGAGTCTTACCAGGGGATCCGCGAAGCGCACACACCTGCACGCTCTCGCGCCGCCCCCCAGAAGAGGAAATAACGGGGAAGATGAGGACTGGGGAATCGCGAATCGCGAGCCGCGAACGACTTCGCGCCATCGAGGGTGCCCTAATGTTCGGCACGATTCGAGTGCCCCCAGAACGCTCTCAACTGCTGGAGCGCACGCACCCCGAGCCTGGGAAACCAATGCGAACCAACGAAAACGTCCGACATCCTCGAACCTTGAAACTCGAAGCTCCCCCCCTGAGCTTGATCAGGGATCAGACAGCTGTCCTTGAACCTCTCCTCGGGTGCGTTCTGACCAGAATTTCGAAGAGCCGTGGCCGCGAGGGCGCCCCAGGACGGTCGAAGGAGCGAACCTCGAAGCTCGAAGTTCGATCCCAGCTCGAAGCTCGACTCCAGCTCGGACCTCGATCCCAGCTCGAACCTCGATCCCAGCTCGATCCCGGTCTAATCGCTCGAGCCTCCAGCGCTTCCCCGACAGGCGCGCCGCGAGGGGGCCGCGCGCCTGCTGCTCGTCGGGGCGGCGCAGGACAACGACGGGGACGAGGGCGAGGACGACGGCCGCCCGCGTCGAGGCCTCGACCCTGTGCGAGGCCTCGATCCTCGTCGATGCCTCGGTCTTCGACCCCCTGCGCGTCCTCGATCCTCGTCGAGGCCTCGATCCTCCATCCTCATCGAGGCCTCGATCCTCGTCGAGGCCTCGGTCTTCGACCGCCTGCGTGGCCTCGATCCTCGTCGAGGCCTCGACCCTCGATCCTCGTCGAGGCCTGCTGCTCGTCGGCGCGGCGCCCGTCGAGGTGGGCCCGCTCGCCCTGCGCTGCAGGGCGCCGCCGCCGGGGCCGTGGGGCCCGTCGCCGCGGAGGAGGAGGGGGATACGAGATACGAGATACCGAGGGGCGCAGTGTCCCGCCTTCGCGACAGCACGGGGCCCCCGCAGGCCTCCAGGGCCCCCAAGGGCCCCCAGGGCCACGCAGGGTCTCAGAGCTGGGCCACCTTCGGGATGGCCGCCGATCGCGCGCCAGCGTCAAGTGGTCCTCGAAGCAGCACGCGTACTTGAGACCCACTGCAGCACGTTCACCTCCATCTCGATGGATTGCCCACCGCACGTGGGCCGAAGTGCTCGTACAGAGGGTCGTCAGCGCTCTCCCCGCTCTCGCCCTCGTCGCTGTCCTCCTTCTCGAAGGACTGTAGCTGGCGGGCGCGATCCCGCAGAGCAGCAGTAGCGCGTCGGTCGCGACGATGCCCGCCATGCTTGAGGATCGCGGTGTCCAGCAGCGGTGGAGGCAAGGTGCGCGGGAGCAGCCAGCTAGGCGGGCGCCGCTCGGCCTCGACGTTCTGGTCGTCAAGGCGCTGCAGGCGCCAGCGCAGCGCCGCGTGGCGCATCCCGCGGGGCTGCTGGTATGTCCTGCGCGAGCCGTCTGGCAAGGTCGTCGAAACGGCACGGCCACGGATGACCTCGACCATTTCTTGCCAGCACGTCTCATTGGCGTCGGTGACCACATCTTTGAAATCCTGCTTGAACTCCGTGTGGTCGCCGATCTTGGCCGCCAGCACCGCGTCAGCCTGGCGATCTTGCCGCTCCAGCAGTGGCCATGTGGCCGCAGGGCCCTCTGACCCCAGGGCAGGGCGGGAGGACACCGCCGCGGCGCGCGCCAAGCGCGCGGCCTCGGCCACAGTGTCAGCCAGCCTGGCCGCAGCGCGCTTGAGGTGGGCGTCCCCGTCGGCGAACTCCTGAGACCCCGTGTGGTCGTCGCCGACGTGCCCAGGGCCCATCCTGCCGTCTACCGAAGACTGCGCCTGGGCACTGCAAGGACCCCGCCGTCTACCGAGGACTGCGTCTCGGCACGGCGAGGGATTCGTAGGGCCCATCCTGCCGTCTACCGAGGACTGCGTCTCGGCACAGCAGGGACCCCGCCGCGCACCGAGGACAGTGTCTCGGCACGGCGGGGAATTTTGTGTGGTGCCTCCAGGCTCCTGATGAGCAGCACCCGGAATACCAGTGGCGAGATGAAAAGCCCCGCGAAACCCTTCAGCATGAGGCTGACCTTGAAGATCAGCGCCAGAAACCTCACCAGCGCAGTAGCCCCCGCTAAGGACTGCCGCGGGGTGGGCTGTCAGATAGTCGGCGACCGCAGCACTGCACGCGGCTGCCGGCGGCGGTGGCTCGGCCGTGCAGGCCGTGGCATCGCCGTCCTCCTCGATGGTCACGTCGAGCTCCGCGTCGTCGCAGGACTCCTCATGGAATCCCGTCTCGCACTCGGTCGCCTGGCCCTCTTGGACGAAGGGCGCGACCGTATCCAGCTGGATTGGCACCTGGTCCTCGCAGTAGTCGGGCGCGATTGCGCCGAGGAGGCCGAGGGGGACGAACACATGCGCCTCCGCCCGCAGCACACTCCCGTGTGGCAGCACAGCCGTATCCACCTTGACTGTGCTCGCCACAACATCAGCTACGCACATCTCGACCACGCAATCCACTGCAGCCGAAGGCGTCGCTGCAAGAAGCGGCTGGTGCCTCGCTTTGTCGCCGTCGCTCTTGATCTCCATGCCTCTGTGCACGAAGTCTGTGTCCACGTCGAGCGTCTTGGCCACCGCTCGCAGTGCATCGCCCAATCGATGCATGTGGCGGCCACGGGCGACGTCAACCCTGTGGTGCAGCAGCAGCGCCCTGCCGAGGCTGACGAGGCGATCCACAAGGGCGGCCGCCAGGTCCGTGGGGGGAGCCAGCACCGTCACCGCAGCAGCGGCAGCAGCCGTCGCCGTGGCCCCGTCCCGCTCCAGGGCTCGCTCCCTGCGCAGCCTGCGCGCAAGCGTGGCCGCTGAGCGTCGGGCCCAGGCCTGCCCGCAACGTGGTCCTGCTCCAGACATCGCCCCAGAGGGCGCCGCCCGAGGGCCTCCCGCAACCATCATGCCCGAACCGCGCGCCAGGGGGGATTCGAGCCGTGCTTGAGCCAAAATGGCTACGGACGGGGGAGGAGGAGGAGGAGGCGGAGGAGGAGGAGGAGGTGGAGGAGCAGGACGTGAATGAGGAGGAGGCGGAGGAGGAGGAGGAAGTAAACGAGGAGGCGGAGGCGGAGGAGGAGGAGGCGGAGGAGGAGGCGGCGGAGGAGGAGGCGGAGGAGGAGGAGGCGGAGGAGGCGGCGGAGGAGGATAGGCGGAGGAGGAGGAGGAGGCGGAGGCGGAGGAGGCGGAACATTGGGAGCATCTGTTCAGCACAGCGTGCAGGGAAAAACGAGAAGGAGGGAGGAGGGCGAGGTCTCAGCCAGCCGACGGGTGGAAACCACGACTGGCCGATGCCAGAGCTGTAACACCGCAGCCTCACGCTCCCAGCCAACAGCCAGGGACGATTTGGGGGGCCTTCTTTTAACGGGCGAAGAACGGTGCCACCGTAAGGGTATAAACTTTCCAGTCGCCCAGGGACAGGCGCCCCCGACAGCGAAAAAGTTTATTTTATACCGTTCTTCGCTCGCTGATTATTGGGCAGGCCACGGGAGCAACGGCTCGAAGCTCGAAGGGGGCCTGCCACCATGTGTCCACATGGGTGGCAGCTTTAGCGCACACACTTGGACGGCCACCCTAGTGTGGTCACATTTGGTTTACCACTCATGTGCCCACATTTGGATTGCCATCCGTGTGTCCACATTGGGGCTGTCACCCTTGTGTCCACATGGCGGCAGCCCAAATCGGGATACATGGGTGGCAGGCCGCATGGGGATGCACGGGAGGCAACCCCAAATGTGGACACATGGGTGGCAAACCAAATGTGGACACATGGATGGTACGTAGTCGTCACGTTTACACATGGACGGCCACCCTTCTCCTCCTACTCCTTCTCCTCCTCCTCCTCCTCCTCCTCCTCCTCCTCCTCCTCCTCCCCCACCTCCCTCTCCTTTTGAATAGAAGTGTTCAAGGCCAGCCCGAAAACAATGAACTCACTTTTGGGCGCTTTGGTGTTAAGAACTTGTTGCGTCACCATCTCTCTCTACCTGTCTCTGCCGGAAGGTCCACCAGAGGCTCATCGGGGCCTCAAACGTCGCCTGCAGATCCTGCGCGGCCCTCGTCCAACGTTCTTGCAGCCTCGGCGAGCCTTTCTCCTCCTCCTCCTCCTGCTGCTGCTCCTCCTCCTCCCTCCCCCCTCCTCCCTCTTGCCTCATCCCTCCCCCCTGCGGCCTCAGGAGACCTCAGAGACGGAGGAGACCTTATAGACCTCAGAAACATCAGAGACTGAGGAAACCTCAGAGACCTCAGAGACGGAGGAGACCTCAGAGACGGAGGAGACCTCAGAGAAGGAGGATGCAGAGGAGACCTCAGAGACGGAGAAGAGAGAAGGAGGAGGAGGAGGAAGAGGAGGAGGTAAGAAGAAGAAAGAGGAGTAAGAGAAGAGACAGAAAAGAAAAAAGAGAGGAATGAAGAGGAAAAGCAAAAGAACGAGAGAAAGGATGCAGAAGAAGAGAGTAAGAAAACAACAAGAAGGAATAGAGGAGGAAAATAAGAGGAAGGACAAGAGGAAAGAGGAGTAAAAGACAAGAAAAAAGAGTAGAAGAGAAAGAGGGAAAATTCCAAAGAAAAAAGAAGAGGAAGAAAATAGGAGCGAAGAAGAGAAGAGGGAAAGCAAAGAGAAGACAAAGCCAAATAAACAGGAAAAGAAATGAGGAGAGAGGAGTAATAAGAGGAAGAGGAAGAGGAAAATAGAGAAAGAAGAAGAGACAGAGAAAGATAATTAAGAGGGAAGAGAGCAAGAAAAAGAGAAGAAAAAAAAGAGAGAAAAAAAAGAAAAAAGAAAGAGAGAAGAGGAGAAAGAAAAAAAAAAAGACAAAAAAAAAAGAGTAACAAATAAAAGGAGAGGATGACGGAGGAGACGGAGTCGAGACGGAGGAGACCTCAGAGACGGAGGAGACCTCAGAAACGGAGGAGACGGAAGAGACGGAGGAGACAGGACCTCAAGCGAAGATGCTGCGAATGCAGTTTTCTGAGGATGTCTCGAGCAAGTCCCCAACGATAAGTCATTATTTGGGGCGGCGAGAGCAGCCCGAACTGGAGCCATGCGTGCCGTGTTCGCACATTAGGAAGCCTGGCCACTTCCTTCGATCGAGAAGGGAGCCTGCGGTCGCGAGCATCGAGCTCAGCTGCCTCACTGCCCATCTCTGCCAGCGCCTCGATCTCAGTTGTCGTGCTCAGAGCGGTGGCAGAAGGTACGCCTGCCCACGAAGAGACGGGGAGGCATCGATGTCCCAGCAGGTCTCCTGCTCCCACTCCTCTTACTCCCACGGATCTCTATAATGGGCTATGACACGCGTCCGCGGATAGAGAGCTAACCGGCGCAGTGGAAACGGATGGGGGGAGGGATGGGATGTCAGACACGGCGCGAGCGCGTCGTGGCGGAGCGTCGAAGCGCGCCACCGCCCCTCCTCCCTCCTCCCTCCTCCTCGTCCTCCTCCTCCTCGTCGTCCTCCTCCTCCTCCTCTTCCTCCTCCTCTTCCTCCTCGCCCTCCTCTTACCCCCTCTCCAGCCTCTACTCTTCAGGCGCCCCAGCTGCGCATCCGCAGCACGGGCCGGGCACGCGAACAGGCGACACGTTGGCTGGCGTGCGGGTTGTACTCCTGGCTGGAACTAGGAAACAATTGAATTGTGACCCGCCCATGACCTTGGCGCGAACGCTGGCGGGGCGGTCTCGGCGGTCGGCGCATCCGCAGCGGAGCCACGGAGCATGTCGGCCCACGAGAAGGGCGCTCGCCACAGCTCGAGGAAAAGCTTGACACGATCGTTCCTCCTCGTGTTCGCCCTATTCCTCCTCCCGGAGGGCCAGATGAGACACAAGCGGGGCTTTCCCGCCTGCCCAGAACCATCTCGAAATCGGTCCCACCAGGACCCCCTCCCAGGGTCCATCCAGACCCGTTGTTCGAGGCGACTCCAACCGTGGCGACGAGAAGCAACCAGAAGGCCCAAAAAGGACGGCTAATGCCAGGGAGATCAGCCGTTGTCTCGACTGGACCTCCTCCTCCTCCTCCTCCTCCTCCTCATCCTCACTGCCTCTTCCTGTCTTCCGTTGACCGCCACACTGGGGACCGGAATAATCGCTCGGAGTGCGTGCCTCGCAGTATCCCCAACAACAGCTGGCAACACATATGAAGTGCTCCAAATGAATGTGCGGAGCTTGGTGTTCGATCCCATCCGTTCAATGGCATTAAACCCTCGACACGATTTCATTCTCTGGGGCGGCGAGAGCAATCCGACAGTATCCCTTCTCTGGGCGAGCACGCATCCCTTCTGTGGGTGCTGCTGACAGCCCTGCCGTTGTCTCGAATGACGCTCCTCCGACCCTCCTCCCCCGCTCCTCCTGCCCTCCTCCGACCGCCATTGCGGGGATTAGACTCGCTCCCTGTGCGCCTCGCGGCCTCAAGAACGGCAGGCGAGCTGCAAAAAAACACAGCGTTACGCCTGGATGTGCGAAACTGGGTGCAAGATCCAACGCGCTCAATGAAATCCTCCACGCGAATTCCCTCTCTGGGAGTCGTCAGGGGCAGCCCGGACTGGAGCCGCCAGAAAAACCTGCGCGGTTGGTCGAGCGCGGCAGCTCGCGCCTTCTAAGCATTGTCTCCGCTCGCTTCCTCCGCTTCCTCCTCCCACTCCTCCTCCTGCAGCCCTCCTCAGACCGCCACACTGGCGATCGGATTCGGCGTGTGACTCGCTGTCGGGGCGTCCGTCGGCCTCTCAGGCCGTTCTTGGGCCTCCCTGTTCGCGGCAGCGGCATGTAATGGATTTCGACGGAATTGCGGAGATCCGTTGCAAGGTCTTTGTGTGATACATAGATATATCCACACGTCAACAATAGGGGGCGCAGCAAACGTGCCCACGGTTCAACTACAAAGGGGCGGCAAAAAACGCACGCACTGTTAAACTATAGAGGCGTCGCAAGAAACGCCATTGTTCAAGTGCAGCGGGGCCGCAGCAAACGTACCGTCATGTCAACTACAAAGGGGGCCGCAGCAAACATACCCACATTTCACTCATATGGTTGGCACACTAAGCGCACGCGCACCCTCCGTTAACTACAGGGGGCCGCACCGATTGTTAAACTACAGAAGGGCTGCAGCAACCGCCACGCTTTATTTGCAGTGGGGCCGCAGCAAACGCACCCATATTTCAACTGCAAGGGGCCGCAGTGAACGGACCGGCATCTTAACAATAAAGGGGATGGGGGAGGGGGCACAGAAAACGTGCCCACAGTTCAACTACAGAGTGGCGACAGTAAGCGCGCCCTCTGTCGAAGCGCAGAAGGGCCGCAACAAACGCAACCAGCTTTCTACTGCAGTGGAACCGCAACAAACGTACCCTCATTTCAACTACAAGGGGGCCGCGGCAAACGTACCTACGTTTCAACGGCAAGGGGGCGCAGTAAACGCACCCATAGTTCAACTACGGAGGGGCAGCATTATACGCACCCGCTGTCAAAGCGCAGAAGGGCCGCAGCAAACGCACCCAGTGTTCATTGCAGTGGGGCCGCAGAACAAGTACACCCAGTTCAGCTACATGGGGCTGCTGCAAACGTACCCATACTACAACCATTGGGGGCATTGCAAACGCACCCACGGTTCAACTACAGATGACGGGAGTAAACGCACCCACTGTGAACTAGGGCCGCAGCAAACGCGCCTATGTTTAAACTACAGTGGGCCACAGCGAACGCACCCCCATTTGAATTACAAGGGGTCGCCGCAAACGTATCCAGATTTCAACTATGGGGGGCAGTGCAAACGCACCCACAATCCAGGTACAGAGGGCGGCAGGAAACGCTAAACGCACCCACTGTTAACTTCGGAGGGGCCGCAGCAAACGCGCCGATGTTTCAACCGCAGTGGGGCCGCAGTAAACCTGCCCACGTTGCAACTACAGGGAGGCACAACAGACGCACCCACAGTTCCACTACTGAGGGGCCGCAGTAAACGAATCCAATGTGCAAGCGCGGAGGGGCCACAGCAAACGCATCCCCTTTTCAACTACAGTGGGGCCGCGGGTGCGACAACGACAACGACAACGACGACGACGACCTCAGTCCTCCTCCCTCCCCCTTCAAGCTTGTTGACCTTTCTGCGCAACTGGTTGAGCTCGTGTCGTTCCTTGGCGTCCAGTTGTGACATGCCACTCCACCACGAGCTTGCACCAAATCCTCGTTCCCACAAGTCATACCCGCAGTCGCGGCACATGTGCCTGGAGCCCCAGTTATTCTTGGCTCCGCACTTTGGGCAATCCCAAGCCTTGGGTCCTCCGCCACTGGAGTCGCCCACGCCTGGCTGACCGCCTCCTCGCCGTCCGCCTCCGCTGCCTCCTCTGCCGCCGCCGCCGCGCGCGGCACCTCAAGCACCGCCACCACGTCCTGCCATTGGTCGAGCCCGCCGCGGCTGGGCTGCCAATCGGGCGACTGGGGCCAGGTGTCGGAAAGGATATGGAGATGAAAGAACTGTGGCCGCGAAGGCCTCGTTGAAAGCTTGGTCGATTAGGGATGAAAGAACTGTGGCCGCGAAGGCCTCGTTGAAAGCTTGGTCGATTAGGGATCTGACCCAGGAAGTGACGCGACGGCTAGAGCCAGCCACATGGGACCAGACATCTGCCCTGATCGCATCATCATCTTGAGCCAACATGGCTACGGATGATGATGATGATGATGACGACGATGAAGACGATGATGATGATGGTGATGATGATGATGCTGATGATGATGATGATGATGATGATGATGATGATGATGATGACGAGGAGGATGATGAGGGGGGAGGGAGAAAGAGAGGAGGAGGAAGAGGAGGAGGATGAGGAGGGCGACGAGGAAGCCGAGCTCGAGGAAGGCCGCCCGCCTGAACTGGAGCTCGCGCTCCGACTGCGCCACGGGTGCCAGGCCCAGAGCACCTGGCACCGCCTCTTGCTCCGCCTCGCCCACCAGTCCTCTCCCATCCTCGCCTCTCCCCCCCCTCTTCTCTTCCTCGGCCCCCCACCAGCCCTCCCCCTCCCAATCCTCGTGCTCCCTCCTTCTCCGTCTCCTCGTCCAGCCCCTCCTCCCACTCCTCCTCCCTCCTCCTCCTCCCTTTTTCCCTGTCTCCCACTGCCCTCGCCCTCTCCTTTTCCCCCCGGTCCTCCCTCTTCCACCGCCTTGCTCGACTCCCAGCCCATCCCTCGGCTGCCTGTCCTCTCCTCCCCTTCCCCTGGCCGATCTTAGTTTGCTTCTCCCTCACGTCACCAACTTCCTGCCCCTCCCTCGACTAGGCGGCGAGCCAAGGGGGGAAGTGAGAAGGGGCGTACCTTCTCAGAAGGCTCGGAAGTCCCCCGGACTTCTGAGAAGTTTCTAAGCCTGCCCCGAAGACAGAAAAACTTCTCAAAGGCGCGAGGGCTTCTGAGAAGTCCCGCCGCCTTCTGAGAAGGCCTTCTCCTTCTCAATTCCCCTCCTCGCTCGCCGCCGATCGACCGTCCTTTTCTCCACGATTCCTGGCCCCTCGAGCTCTCGCTCTGGTCGGAAGAGCCGCCGCGTGGGACTGCACAGCGGGACCGAACACGCCCCGGTGCGCGCACGCCTGCTGCGCTTGGCCATCACACATGCGGGTTGCGCATAGAGTCGGGTAGGAGGAGGAGGAGGAGGAGGAGGAGGAGGAGGAGGAGGAGGAGGGGGAGGAAGGGGAGGAGGGGGAGGAGGAGGAGGAGGAGGAGGAGGTAGAGCCTGCGAGGTTTGAGAGCGCGATCATTCCCACCCACCCACCGAAGCTGGAATCCCTGCTCGTTCACAGCCCTTCGTGTCATACAACTAATCGTGCATGCCAAAGGCGAAGAGCGCGCGCATAACATCTGGCACATATAGGTTGGCACTATAACAGTGCAGCACGTGTTACATGACAATGAAGAAGAGTTCATATGTATAAACATTTATGGTGAACAGGTGAACTTCTGTATGTACACACATGTACATCTGACTATCAGGTGCATGTATATGGCGCTCCATACATGTACACATGTAAGTATATACACATACATCGTCGCTGCTATATCAATGAGCTTGAAACGCGAGCGCGCGTGCCTGGTGGTATTTCACACCAACTCGAAACACACTTGTTTCACTATTTGCTGAGGTGAATGGCGAGGTCCGACCGGGCTGAACACCAAACGGTTTGCTTTCAGGGACGCACGTCAGGACATGTCCCATTTGCGATCCAGCTGCAGCCAGGACGGTGGTGATTAGGAGTTCGGGTGGACGTTGGGATGCAGGCAGGCCTGAATCGGATCGAATCGCGAAATCGGAGCGGGTCGGAATCGGATCGGAACAACGAATCGCCCTGGACTGCATCGAAATCAGATCGCCGCGCCCAGCTCCGACTAGCCAGGTGAATCGAGCCGACTCGAGTCGAATCGGATTCGCTTCCCCAGCTGGCGAATCGAATCGCGTCGGATCGGATTGTAGGCGGCCCTGGGAGGTGGCTGGATGAGGGAGACAGGAGTGAAGAAGCGTTGAGCGGGACAAAGTCGAGAAAATAGAGTAGGAGTCGAGTAGGTCAGAGTCGAGCCAGGCAGCGCAGGGTGTCATATTTCTTCATACACCAGCGTAGAGTCGAATGCTATAGGGTCGGGCCGAGTGGACTAGGAGTCTAGGGCACAATACACTCGAGCAGAGTCGAGTCGTGTAGAGTGGTACCAACCACAGACACGTCGCGAACCGTCGAGGAGGAGGGCGGAGGGAGGAGGGAGGAGGAGGAGGGAGGAGCGAGAGAGGAGGAGGAGGAGGAGGAGGAGGAGGAGGAGGAGGAGGAGGGAGAGGGAGGAGGAGGAGGAGGAGGAAGGAGAGGAGGGAGGAGGAGGAGGAGGAGGAGGAGGAGGAGGAGTGCAGCGTCGACTAAAGTCGCGTGCTCGAGGCCATGGCGTCCACCACAACGCCGCAGGCACTGTGTTGGAGTGCTCTCGGGTACCTTCGATCGAAAGTTGGGCGAGGGCTGCTAAAACCGTGGCTCCTCCTCCTCCTCCTCCTCCTCCTCCCTCCTCTCTCCTCCCTCCTCCCTCCTCCCTCCTCCTCGCTCCTCGCTTCTCGCTCCTCGCTCCTCGCTCCTCGCTCCTCGCTCCTCCTCCTCCTCCTCCTCCTCTCGGAAGCTGGGCGAGGGCTGCTAAGACCGTGGCTGCTAAAACTGCCCTCCCGGAAGGCAAAAGCAGCTTCCCGGAAGGAAGCGCGGCACGCGAAACAGTCAACGGGCTGCTTCCCGGAAGGACGAAGACGACTTCCCGGAGGTCGATTTTAGCAGCCACGGATCTAGCAGCCCTTGCCCGGCTTCCGAGCGTCCTCCTCCTCCTCCTCCTCTTCCTCCTCTTCCTCTTCCTCCTGATCCTCCTCCTCCTGCTCCTCCTCCTCATCCTCCTCCTCGTCCGATTTTAGCAGCCACGGATCTATCGAGCGTCGAGCTCTCTGGACAGACTGCTCCCTGCACTGTCCTCGACGTGCCCAAACCCTGCCGTCGCGTGCGCTCCTGGGGCGCTCCTCTTCCCGCGTGCGTTCTCCAGATGCCTCAGGACCGTGGCTTCGCATCGTGACACCCAATAGTTTGTTGTAATGCTTATGTGTTTAACATGTCTGTATGTATGCATGCATGCATGCATGCATGCATGCATACATGCATGCATGCATGTATGTATGTATGTATGCATGTATGTATGTATGTATGTATGTATATATATGTGTGTATATGTATGTATGGACGTACGTACGTACGTACGTATGTATGCATGCATGCATGGATGGATGTATGTATGTATGTGTGTGTATGTATGTATGTATGTATGTATGCCTGTATGTATGTATGCATGCATGCATGCATGTATGTATGTATGTATGTATGTATGTATGTATGTATATATATACACATGTGTGTATATACAGATGTGTGTACATATATACATACATATATACCTACCTACACATATATACATATATATACACATATATATATATATATATATCGGAGTAGGGCCCCGGGGCGGTGCCTGTCATCTCCATGGGGGGTGCAGGGCGCCCCCGGGAGCGTCCGAAGCGTCCCGGAGGGCCCCTGGGACCGCCAGGAACAGTTCGAGCCCGCCCAAGACGGCCCGCGAGCGCTCCAAGACGCGCATAGATAGCCTCAGGAATGGCCAGGAAGGCCCGAAGACGTTCCAAGAGAGCTCCATGAGGCCCCGAAGGCATCCCAAGATGCCTCCCAAGAGAGCCCCGACAAGCCAACATCGTTGACTTTTATTATTTTTTCATAGGTTTTTGGCCTTCTCGCTTTTTCGGGGTTCCGACGCTCCAAGGCCGTCCAAGAGTCTCCCAAAACCGCTCCAAGACGGCCGAAGAGGCCCCCCAAACCGCCCCAAGACGGCCCAAGAGACCCCCAAAACCGTCCCAAGACGGCCCAGGAGAGGGCCCAAGATGGCCCAGGAGCCGCCCAAGACGGTTCCAGGAGTGCCCCGACAGGGCTTCAAGACTGCCTAAGCGAGCCCAGCGGTCCCCAAGAGGGCCCCGCGAGGCCCCAAGAGGCCCCAAAGAGGCCCCCAAGAGCCTCCCCGAAGGCCCCCAGAGGCCCCCAAGATGCCCAAAAATGGCCCTGAGCGCGCCCCAAGACGCCTCCAGGAGAGCCCCACAGGCCTCCGAGAGGCCCCCAAGAGGCCCACTGGAGGCCCTCAGGAGGTCGTCCCCATCATGTTCCCGGAAGGCGGTCTGGGAACATGATTCCGCGCCTTGGAGGAGTATTCTGCGCCTTCCGAGGCGCCTTGGACGAAGTACGATTCATATTCTTGAACGCTTTCCGGGAACATGATTTCTCACCATTTCGGAACGCTTTCCTACTGCTGCGGTGGTCTGGGGGGAAGGGACGGGGGTCCGGAAACATGATCGGGAGGTTAGGGAACGAGGGTTTGGAGAGGAGCAGTAGGACAGACGGACGGGGCCCGGGGGCGGGGGTGGGGTGGTGCCACCGGTTGGCATGGCCGCCCCGGGCGTCCTGTGGGGTCCACGAACCCGCCCAAGACGGCCCATGAGGCCCCAAAGACAGCCCAAGCGACCCACAAGACAGCCTCAGCGAGGCCCAAGAGGGCCCCAAGACGCTCAAGAGCGCCCCAACAGGGCCCGAGATGGCTTGAAGATGGCCGAAGAGGGCCCCAAGAGGGTCATCAAGAGGCAAACACCGGCCTACTTCCATTCGTAAAGCATACATTTTCAGCATACTCGTTTGCTTGGTCCTCACAGTGCCCCAGACGCTCCCGAGCCCCAAGACAGCCCAAGAGAGACCCAAGAGGGCCCAAGACGGCCCAAACGGGTCGTCCTGTGAGGCTCACGGAACCCCCCCAAGACGGCCCAAGAGGCCCCAAAGCCGGCCCAGGAGGCCCCCAAGACGGCCTCAGGAAGGCCCAAGAGGGCCTCGTTCGAAATCATGTTCCCGGAAGCCTTTCCGGGAACATGATTTCCGGGTTTTCTAGGACGCCCAAGAGGGCCCCAGGACGGCCCCAAAAGGGCCCCAAAAGGACCTTCAAAAAGGCCCGGATGGCCGCAGTTCGTTGATTTGCGTGAGATGTTGTTGGATTTCTTCCACGCAGAGGAGACGGAGAGGGCGAAGGAGGAGGAGGAGGAGGAGGAGAAGGAAGAGGAGAAGGAGGAGGAGGCGGGGAGGAGGAGTGGAGGGGAGGAGGGGTGGAGAGAGGAGGAGGCTAGAGGGCGATCGACGATCGGCGACGACGACCGGCGACGGTGATTGACGACGACGACGACGACGATGACGACGACGACGACGACGGTCGACGACCGACGACGACGACGATCGACGACGATGACAACAGTCGACGCCGCCGATCGACGATCGACGGCGACGACGACGGCCACGCCGCCGGCGGCGACGCTGCCCGCGTGACAG